ATTTTGAACACATCAACCAACGGAAGGTGCTGGATCAGCACTTGGCACCTTGGAAGACCTGAAATGTATCCATCTGCTCTGCAGTGGGTATCTGTATATTTTTTGTGTGTGTGACTATTGGTGCAGTGATCTGAGAGGAATCTACAGATTCTCCAGGAGTTTTCCAACTGGGTTATGTATTTATCTGTATAATTTCAAATATCGTCATGCATCTACTAGTGTCCCCTCATTGCTTCAGGCGATTCAAATGTGTTTCAAATATTTTCATACTGGAGTGCAATTTTTAAATCATTTAATGTACCAAAGTGGCTTTTTATTTTGGATCCTCTAGGCACTTGCTTTCCTTAAGAAAGGGCCAAATGGGTCATAAGCCAGGAGCTCAGCTTAAGCACCCTTTCAGCAGCTTGAGCAAACATTAGAGAAACAAAGCAAAGGCACCAGTAATGAACCTTAACAGCAGAACGATGAGACAAGAGGTTTCCCAAGAACAGGTTTAGAGGCCCTCTATTGTTGTCATTGCTTTCTGTGTTGAGAATGTATATTTTTCTATATTGTCTGGGTGATTAGACTGGATGTCTTTGCACTGGAGATCATAAGGACACTATACAAGATGCGCTCATTTCATTTAGGAAGAGCAGTTTGTCACAATCTCGCTTCGGGACGCAGTTGTCTGGCGAATGATTAAATCGGATGAAATGCTTTGGTGATCCTGACAAAGAAAGGTGTTTAATGTTATAGTATTTAACGGGTTTATACAAATCCTTTGGGTAGCCACTGATGCTGCTGTTGCATGTTGCATACACCTTAAAAAAATGTCCTCCCCCTCTTTTATGCAGTGAGGCATGTGAAGAAAGATGAGCGCAAGTACTACGAAGAGCTCTTGAAGTACAGCCGTGAGCATCTCATGTTGTACCCTTACCATCTGTCTGACATCATGGTCAAGGGCCTGAGGGTTACTCCCTTCTCCTACTATATTGGAATAATGGAGGTAGGTCTGAAAGTGGGTGGGGCTTGGCAGTATTTTAAACAGTAGGGGTTTGGAATACATAACCTCTTCGAAGTGTATCCCCGCTGTATCTCCTCCGTGCAGTCAGTGCAGTTTATATGTGCTGATGCAGTGTAGGAGGCTGAAGCTCATCCCTGCTGCTTTTAATAAGGAGCAATCCTGCCACTCCACAGCATGTATTGCTGGCAGTTGCATACCTCTGCTGCAAGAGTATAATTACTTTTTCTCTGCTCACAAAAGACCACATTCAGGAAGGCACCAGCCTCTCTGCACCTTGCTATTAAGGTCTAAGAAGGAGGAATGATTGGAAATGTACAGCAGAGTCTCATGTTGCGGCGGCAGTAGCTGATGTACTGCTTACGTTAGAATGATTGGACTTTTTTCAAAAGATGTACATTTCTAGTTATTTTCCTGTTGGTCTTAAATTGCAAATTTACAAATCCAACAAGAATCTGTTTAACACAGCCCACATAAAAATGTAATGTACACCTTGCAAGAGAAAAAGCTATCTGGAAACTGCTGTTCGTATCTGAGTGCCGACTGTAAAACCATAAACTGTACTGCAAAATTTAAGCCATTGGCTGTGCAATTAATATTTGTTTCAGGCCTTAAAAGGTCTGTAAGCTTCACAGTTTTTTTAAATCATTTTTATCATCTCAGAAGTGTTTGGCAGATGTCTTTAAAGACAGAAGAAATGGTATGTGTTGGATATAGAATACCGTTCAAGACGCAGGCTTCTCTCACAGCAGTGCAGTTCAGGGGCGTTATCATGAACAACACCGTTGGGCCTCATGTGACTCTTAAGTCAGACTTTGGACTCTGGAGTGCATTCTCGGATCACAAATGCAGCGATCGTTGTGGTGCTCAGGAATATCCTACAGTACAACGTGTCAGATTCACAGATTAACAAAAGTCCTCTATGTTTTATGACAAGAAAAGTCCTCTATGCTTTATTGCAATTAAATGTGTTTTTTTTTTTACTTTCTAAACACTCATGTTTATGTGCACACTTTTAGTTTCAGGCACATGCTTTCTTCAGCATAATGCTATTATTACAAGTACAATCATGTGCACTAGCCATCACACTGTAGAGATGGTGCCCCCCCAAAAATATAGTAATAACTGCCCCTCTTTCTGTTGCAGGACATCATGAACAGTGAAAAGAGCTACGACTCTCTACCCAATTTCACAGCAGCTGACTGTAAGTTTTTCAGAAAGCTTGTCTGTCAGGTGCAAGCTGATGCACATCTACTGTACATAAATCATAACACAGGCTTGCTGATATGTGGAAAATATAATGGAAGAGCCTCTAGAATTTCTTTATTTTAATCCTCATTGTCCTGTCGTATTTGAACTACAGAGTTCGTGTTTCACCTCTACATTTTAAAACAGGTAGGAGCTGATTTGATTAAGATCAGTGACTTTTCTTCAGAGGCTATTCAGTCTCTCCAGCTCTACTTCCTCTCCAGTGAACCTTGTCAGCCTCCAGAAAAACTCTGCAAATGAGCCAGTCGACTCTGACTGCTTGCTTTCTTTGTGTTTTTGCATTCCTGGGCCCTCACCTGTGAACATCTGAGACAGTTCAGCTTTCCCCTGGGCTCCCTGGGTCTTGGTGTCCTACACATGCAGTGAAGGGAACCATCAGTTAGTCTGGAGTCCACTCACCTGTTTATGCCTTTTAATTACATTATTTGCTAGAAGCACAAAGGTGTTATACAGTGTTCTGGCATATAATTCACTCACCAGTATTGTACATTTCAGCTTTCACTGTAAAATTCTAAGAATGTTGAGCTCTTCTTGGTTATGTTGTAGGTCTGAGGCTCCTTGGAATTGGGAGAAACCAGTATATTGACCTTATGAACCAGTGCAGATCCTCAAAAGTAAGAAACCGATTTATTCACATGGCTCGTTCTTCTTTGGGGAAATGGCTTAAAGTGATTTGCAGTGTTTTGGGCTGTAGCTGTATCCGTTGTGTCTAACTCATTCTGCAATTTCTGACAAAAGCCAGATCAGGGTTTTATCAATCTTTCCGGAGAAGCCGTTGAAGAATCTCGAAGGACACGATTGACATATTTGATCAAAAAACATATAGATATTGTCATTCCAGTATGCAGACAGGAATTAATACCTGCAGTTTTCCTGTTTGAATTTGACTTAAGAAATCCCCTTGAAGTTAGTCTAAGCAAACCAAACGACTGTATTTTCTTTTATTAAATATTAGGAGGTGTAAAAGTTCAAATTTGTGGAGGGAATGTGTTGTTCTTAAACAGTAGCTGCTTCTTCCCAGAAATTCTTCAGAAGGAAAACGGCGAGAGACCTGCTCCCAGTGAAGCCGGTGGAGATTTCTGTGGAGCCCTGGTGGGTGGTGCAGACCGGCTACATCACTGAGGATGACATCAGGGTGGGTGTGGGCATTACATCAGCCTGTTTCAGCAGACAGTATTATCTCACTGGTCTAAATTTACACCTGAGGTTACTGCATGCCTGTGGTTAGGTTTCTCCATCTTTCTCAACACTGAAAAAATGTTTACGTAACATAGAGAGCCAAAGTGCAGTAGAAAGATCTTTTTGCATAGCGTTTTTGGAAAAGTTGTCTACTACTAAATTGAAGATTTGATTTTTTTTTTTGTCAATAGGAAGATGTTGTTGTTTTTTTTGTTTTGCATCATTAAGTTTTCTCTGTTAGACTTCTTGGGATAGTTTGATGCCCTCAGTCTCTGCAATCATTTACTGCTTTAGAATTTTCATTAACATTCCCAGATCACTTTGCCTTCAGTATTTTGCTAAATCTCTTTTTTTTCCCTCACGTGAAATGCTGCTTTCCTCATTATTCGCAGATCTGCTCCTCGGCTGAGAAGAGTGCTATTGATAAAATGATAGATGCTGGTCCCCAGCTGACTGGATCTGTAGAATACAACGTTGTGCTGAGTGAGTGCCATCTGAAAACCAAGCAAAAGGTCGAAACGTGCTTCTAGAAAAATTGTCTAAAATGTGATTAATCGAAGATTAAAGCTAAGCACTGTTAATTAACTAGAAAATCTTTCTTAAACCTGGGATCTAGAATATAAGGGCTGTACATAAGCAAAAGGAAATAGCCTTGTGAGGTATTTGCAGAGTGAGGTTTGCAGTGTTGGATGTTTGAGCACATTGAATCCAAGATCCCTGGGCTTGAGGCCCATCCTAGCCAGCTTCTCTGCTGCAGGACACATTTAGCTGAAATAGAACCTCGTTGAGCCCTAGAGAGTGTGGAATACTGCTACAGCACAGGACCTGGCCTTTGGCACAGCAGTTTGCTGCTCTGCGTGGCTCCTAGCCTGTAAGTGACGGAAATGGAGTGCCGATGGGCAGAGCCGAACCCATGAACGTAGAAGGAGAAAGTTCTCTAGGATCCCTGCAGTGTTAGGAGCAAGCCCAGAGACGCCGGAGGAAATTCGGAGGTCGATTTCTGCTTTCATCCATGTGTTCAGACACGGTGCGTTACCTTTATGGGGGTCCTTCTGGAACAGGTTGGATTTCTACAAGCAGGACAGGTTGCCCTTGAACCAGAGGGGCACCAATGTACTGTACTAGGAGAGCATAGATTATTAAACTATTAAAACTAGGCAACAGGGGGGCTTAGCGGGTCATTTCATACATATTTATATCAGTGACCCAGAGCCCAAGGTCAAAGTTACAGTGCAGTGGGAAGTGAGTGGCTCTCAGAAGCTAGCAGAGCTTTTGCAAATTTGCAAGGAAGCATGGGTAAGAATTGCACCGTCCCAGAGTCTGAAGTTAGTAGAGACTTAGCCAAAACGTGCACTTCCTGTTGCTGCCAAAAGTGCTTCTACTAGGTATTGACTTATGCAATTAACATTTTAGGTTTTTTAATAATATGCTAGATGAGGTCTTACTGATGTATTAAACAGTTTTAATGTAACACTCCTTGGTGTAAAATCAATTACTATTAGAATATATCTTAACATTTCATAGACCTTTTTATTGCTACATCACATTGTCTAGAAAATATAAGTGATGTATTTTCATAAAGACTTAAGTCTTTTTCTTAAATAGTGTTTTCAAGCTCAGCATTTCTCATTCTGTATTTATGGTTATTTTGTAACCTGCTTGCTAAACACCATCTGCCAGATGCCTGCCCAGTCCTTAATATCATTTAATTCTTTTGAATTTCATTTGCTGCTTCTGTAGTGTTTTTAATTCTCCTATTTTGGTATGTTCTGCAAACCTCACTAATTGTTCCAGAATCGAAATTTTTTTATATAAATTAGGAAGCTGTGATCCTAATACAGTTCTTCTTTTACATCGGCAAAATTTAAATTCGATGGAGATTCACTCCTTATCTGTACTCTTTTTTTTTTTTAATCTGTTAACCAAATCTCGATCCCAACACATGTATTTTCCTGTATGCCTACTGCCTGTAATTTGAGAATAAATCTGTTGTGAGGATTTTTAACAAAAACGTTCTTAAAATCTAAATACACCATATTGTGCACTCTGTGTGTGTCTATTACTGCTGTTGCTTGTTCAAGAAACTCTGACAGGTTAGTTGAGCCAGACCTATCTCTTCTCGGATCCTGTTTCCATATACTGCAGAGGATCCTCTACTTCAGTTCTAATTGTTTCCATAACCTTATGTGTAACAGAATGCACTTCTATTACGGATGTTGCCAGCTGTTAGAAAGGTGTAGGACTAGACTGGACTAGGGCTCTGCAGGACGAAGGCTGGCAACCTCTGCTGTGAGGACATAAGGGGATTATGACTACCTTTATATTTTGTTGTGCACAAGTAAAAAAAAAAATACGAGGACTTAAGTGTGCGTCTTGAGTAATACAGTGGTCTGCTATGACCAATATTGTTTCATGGGCAAGGTGGCTTTCAGTTATACTACTGTGCTGTATGCCAAAAAAATGAATTGGCTTAACCTATTCTTGAAGCACAGACTCAGACTGGGAATGTTCTCCAAGTCCTGGATATTTCATTAAGAATTAATGTCTTAATTAAGAAAGAAATTAAGAAGCATTGTGAACAAGAGGAAAGCATTCAGTCCATCGAGGTCCTTTGGTTGCTAGTAGCTAACATATTTTCCGTCCATCTGTGTGCACCAAATGATTGGAGGAGTGTTTTAGCATTTTAGTAGAGATCTGTATAGGCTCCAAGCTGCAGAGGAACAATATCTTCACATCGACTGAAGTAGAATAATCCAATATGCAAACTATGATAATGAAAGATAAGGAAGGACAAAATAAATAGAGAAACAACACAGAAACCAAAATATGTTTTCACCATAATCTCTCAGTGTGCTGTCTAAACACATTTATGCAAAAATCCCCCAGTTTATATTTTAAAATATAAGAGAATTGACTTAGTTTCTGACTCTTAATACCTGTAAAAAACTGAAATAGCCTTTTTAGTTTCCTGAGCTTTGGGGAATTTCTTTGCAATGCAGTTAATATCACATCCCTCAGTGAAAGAAAAGCATTGTTCATATTGAAATAATAAAATCCACGCAAGAAGTTCAGCACAGGTCTTCTCTAATTCTGTCTCTCTGCAGTGGCTCTTGAGCCATTCAAGCTCCCCCTCTGTCAATTGCACAAGACCCAGTCTTGGTTTCATTTTGTGATTAAAAGAGCTGAACTCTTGAAATACAGGTGTACAAACTAAACAGTACACTGCAAACCTGAGCCTTATAGCAGTACTAATTACAACCTCCAGCTACGACAAACAGGTGTGAGTTGGGTGTCTAATGCTGAAATCCCAGTAGCTTTGGAAATGCAGATGCAGGCTGAGCAGATGACATCTTGAGGATCTGTTTCCCTCCAGTCAGGAGCATCCTTGAGAAGTAGTTTCAAATCTTTTTTCCTAAGCAACGTATGCTTTGAGTGTCTTTATGAAAACCGTAGTGGGAAAGACACTTTTCATTTCTGACCTGGTTTTCAATTTCTTCTTCTAGATGTGGCTTTGCCACTCATTTCGGCTGACTGCAGCCAGTGTTATTTTGATAATACCCCGGAATTGAGGTTTATATTGAAGCATTCAATCACCGCCGTGAGTCACAAATCGATGGGCTGATCTTAAATCATACTGAAGTATATTGACTCAAACTCGCTGTGTGAAGGAGCACGTGGGCAGGAGAGCTCTGTGCATGGAAATAACACAATTCTGATCTCAGGGGCAGAAGAGAAGTGGGCTTTATTTCACTCAGTTGAGATTGTGGTGCCTGTATGAGAAGCCATGGTTTCCCAGCTTTTCTTTCCAGTGTGTTGTGATAATTCCAGCTGAATTCCTATGATGGATAGGTGTCCTAACCAGGTTGTACTCTCACCTGGTGCCCTCTGCTTCTAGTATAGGCCTTGACCCTTATGAGCTAAGAAAAGCTTTCTTATTGTGGGTGTATGGAAAGATTTTAGTGACTGATGTTGGGGATAAACATGATAATTACTCTCCAATATGTAAAATATTTAACCCCTTTCACACAGGATTGATGTGGTTTAGGTGTAGCTACCTATCGATTTGAGAAGTACAGCATCCTTGTGGAAAGGATTTTGTTAATAAAAATGCTTGCAAAACTATCATGAAGTGAAAGGCATGATTAAAATGCCTGGTTCTTTTTCTTTAAGGTCTGTACAACAAAGGCTTCATTTACCTTGATGTCCCCATCTCTGATGACAGCTGCATTTCAGGTGAGGTCTCTGTTTTAAGAAACGCTATCATCCTATATGAAGTCTTTGCAGGATTGTTGTCAATGCTAGCCTGTTTCCTCTTGCAGTCCAAAGACGAGGTGAAGGTTATGAGGTGTTTCACAATTGCTTCCTACTGTATATGCATATGCATGTGTGTATATCTGACCTAGAATTGATTGGCCTCCCATATAGAGTGTAGTTGCATCTCGTGCTCTGTGTCTGTCGGTTCAAGATGTGATTTACCATGGTCCTGTATAGGATAAAGCAGTTATAGGTGATAAAGTGGTTGGATTACTTGAGAAAATGTATATTTTTATTATGGGGAATAGCACAAACGTTCAGGAACAAGGGAAAAACACTGGCCCACATTCCACTTGCATACATTCTAGACAATATTACCTTTCCATCATATGTGTAAATCAGAGCGAGCTCGTATTTCATTGGACTGTAGTTTTCTGCCTTTCCAGTTTTACATGCTCTGTTACTGAATGCTGGAGAGCTATAGTAAACAAGATTTTATCTACTGGTGATGAGTGTTCATTATTGAGTGTATATAGTGTATCATTATTTGCTTTTTAGAGATGTACAGTAGCTCTAAAATCACGACTGATGCACAGTTAATTTGTAAAATGGAAGAGACTGTCATTTATTTTTATTTTTATTTCCTTTTAGTTCCCCCCTTGGAAGGATTTGTGATGAATCGGGTTCAGGGGGATTATTTTGAAACTCTTCTGTACAAAATCTTTGTCTCTATTGACGAGCATACTAATGTTTCTGAGGTAGGTGCCCAGAAGCTGTTTTTTTTTTAGACTTTGTCTAGTTTGTCTGCTTTGTCCAGTTTGTATTCATCACTGTTTTCTTTTCTTTTTTGCCAGCTTGCTAATGTATTGGAAATAGACCTGGGTCTTGTAAAGGTATGTATTACAGTAGAGTAACTAGTCATCAGGTTGGAATTATGTTGCAGAGACCTAGAGACTTGGTGCATAGAATAGTTTGTCATTGCAGTAGGGATATTTATACAATTTTAGAATTTCACGTATGAATTACTGAACTAAACATGCCTTGCAGAAGTTTAGAAAGGCACCGGGTGACTGTTTTGTCTGCAAATAATCAGAGAATTTGACATATATGAAAAATAAAAATATTTTTAGATTAAATGTGCTTTGAAACAACTTAGTTCTTTCTTTACGAATTGTTTTCCTTTGAATTGCAATGGAAAGATAAAGGTTTTTGACCAAACAATATTAGCGTTTTATAAAAGCCAAACTATAAACCAAAGAAGATGAAGCAGATCGTGGTTGATGGATTTCTGCAAACACTGATAGAGGTGAGATACGCTTTGAAACTGCGCATCTGAAATCCTGACATTCTTTTCTTGGGAAGATCGACACAGCCTATATTGGACCAGTTTTTCTTGGTATTATACACATAATGTTACATAATGTCCTTAGGCTTTTTGTTTTAATTGGAGCAGTGAATACTGTTGCTGACGAGTGTTGTATGTGACAGTTTCTCTAAAAATGAATGAGATAATTAACTCCAAATGGGAATGTCTGTGCGCTGTCCTTACAGGTCACCCTGGTGAACTATCCTTTTGACGTCTTGTAAAAATGTCTTCTTTTGATATATCTTTATAAAATAATTTTTTTGAACATGAAGATTTTCATTGTAGACGTCATCTCTTAGGAGGTGGTTTTCTTTTTCCACTTGGCTGTGTTTGAACATTGGTAGAAGGCATATGAATTCATGCTTGCATGTCTGTCGCTGTTGCAGAAGGCATTTCTTGACTGAAAGCCATTTTTTGCACTTCGCTGCTCTTCAGTTGTGAGGTCAGACATGCTCATCTCGGATCTGCAATTCGTGATACAGCCAGAGACATTGAAAATGGTCAGCAAATATACTAGGCTGCTATCAGGGCTGAGGTGACCTAGTTTTCTGCTCTTTCTTCCATCATTTCACAGGAATTCAAAAAAATCACATTTTCAGTGTGGCTCCTGAATGATTACTACAGTGACAGTTAAAAGTGCAATTCATCTTTGCTCTCCAAAGATCTTATCTTTATAAAATCCAAGCTGAAGACTATAGTAGGAATAAGATGCCCTGGCTGTATGGTGTTGTTTAAATCAGGGATATCCAATTTGTTGGATGTGAATTTCACAGACATTTCTTCACTGCAGACATTTTGAGAGTATCAAATTTTTTAAAACTGTTGAGCCTCTAAGATGGTCAAACATTGCACATCTTCCAAATATGTAATTTTAAATAAAAGCAATTAACAAGGCCCAAACAGTGCAGAGAACATACGCGTATTTTGTTCTCTCCAATTAGAATGCTGTGTCCATGTACTGTCGCTTGGGCTTCGCTGTCAAGAAAGGTCAAGTGATAAATCCTGATCAGCTTCACCCCACCTGGAAGACTGCCCCCTCGCTCAACAGGCTCAGGTGCGTGACTCACGTGAACGTGTACCGTTCCTTCGGCACTTCAACAGCATCCAGCTAGTGAAGGTTCTCTTGGGGAACCTTCACTAGATCATCTGAATTGAGTAAAGGCTGCTCTGAAATGAGGACACCAGAAACTTAGTGTTCTTAACTTACTTACATCCTTATGACTGTATGAACTTGGCCGAACACACAGTCACTTTCCTCTGTCCTGGGTTTTTATCTCAAACCTTTCGAATTAAAACAATCCCTTTGCTTTTCCCCGAACTCCTTCGCACCGAAAGAGGTTTGTATCCGACTTTACGCCATCACTGGTTTTCAGCCAGTAGTGCTATTTGATCGCTGTAGTTATTTCAGACTGTCCTGAATGGCACAGAACATTTGATAAAAAATAAGAGAGAAGAATTTCTGTTTTATTCCCAAGTGTCCTGACTATGTGCCTTGGCCTTAGTTTGTTGCACTTTCTGACAGAAGTACCATGGACCCACAGAAGATGCTCCTGTCCTGGGAAGGGGGCAGCCCAGTTCTCGACACTGGATCTTCAGCCACTGACACTGACACCACAAGCCTGGAGGACCAAGGTCAGAACTCGCCCTGGCAAACCGTTCATATCAGACAGCATTGGGACAGTGTGACAACACTGTCAGGGAGGCCACATAAATACATACGCACTCTCCTCCCACGTCGTCACCACATCATTTATGGCTGGCAGATGACATAACCATATCTCCATCCATTGTTTTGTCTAACTGGCATAACCCTGATGGTGAGTACAATAAGAGGTCCTGTGTTGTTGGTGTTCCAGACCTCCGTTTGCTTCAGGTTCCCGTAGTAACAAGCCAATCTGTGATTGGTCGGACCTGAACAAGTAGGAGGAGCATTATGTTTACATGTGGGTCTGTGTCCCGTGTTGGCGGCAGTAGGGGTTGGTGGGAGGGGCAGCAGGTCTTGGAGAGTTATTGTAGACAAAGTTGGAAAGACGTGAGTGGAGGTGGAGAGTGGAGCAAAAGTGGAAAAGAATTTCTGCCACTGATTCGCTACCATTGCTAGAATCAATTGTTTTGAAATGCTACTGTACCTTAAGTCCACATATCTTATATCACAGATGGGTATTGTCTTGGGGGAGGGGGTGTTTTTCGGAATGATGGCTGTTAGGCCTGGGTGGGTTGGAGCTGGACAGGTATCCCCAGTTCACTACATGGCACAGAATGACAAGGTATGTTGTAAATATCACCTGATAGACCCGAACAGGATATTTAAGGAATAAAAATGAAACAGTGGTGTAAGAGGCTTTTAAATGTGGCGGCTCGTAAGGCCTGAGCACGTTAAACCTCCTGATGAGATGAATGCAAACTCTTCTCAGTTACACACAAAGGCCAGTTCTACAAGTTAACAACAGCTAACACCGTGCACACCCTTGATATCAGGAACAGACTAATTTGTACCAGTCATTCTCCCTCCCCTCCCAAATTAATAGTTGAATAATTCACCCCAGTTAGCCCCAGGTGACCTTCCACTGAGGCAAATATTATTGGCCTCAGTGGAAGGTCACCTGGGGCTACAATCCTTATTGCACTGACTTATCACAACTGTCCATCCATCCATTTTCTAACCACTTCATCCAATGCAAGGTTTCAGGGGAGCCAGAGCGATCCTGGCAAGTAACAGGCACAAGGCAGGATACGCCCTGGACAGGACACCAGTCTATGACAGGGCACAGACACAGACACTCACTTGGACCAGGAACAATTTTCCCAGAAGCCAATAAACCTACCTGTATATCTTTAGACTATAGGATGAACTTAGGGCACCTGGAGGAACCCCACACAAACACGGGGAGATGGTATTAACTCCACGTAGATATATTTATTGTATGCACGTACTGTAGATAACACCCCAGGAATTGAGCTTACACACATAATCTAATGTGGTTTGGTGATTGTAATTCGGTTACTTTTGAAACAGATACATCTAGTGTGAACAGTCTGAGCATGTTTGGAGGTCACACCAAACGGATTGCTTTCCTGTTTGATTCGACGCTCACAGCCTTCTTAATGATGGGAAACCTGTCACCAGTAAGTGTTAAAATAAATCTAGCCTACTTATCCTACGCGACAGTGGAAGTGTTAATAAGCAGTACTATTGTTTTGGCCAGGATATGAATTTGTGTATTAATAATTCTTGTGCAGGATAAAAAGCAATTAAACTTGCATTTTAATCCTGGTGCATAGAGAGCCCACTGTGTGTCTTGACCCAGCTGGGATCTCAGTTACTAAGTCAAACTTTAATTCAAAAAGAATTTGCCTAATAGGACTTTTTCTAGTTGTATTCAGCTCCAGTAAAGAAGGTTCAGTTAAGTAACATGATAGCTCAGTTGGAACAAAATCTAGTAGACAATAGTGGGATTTCAACTCTGAACTAAGAAATTGTAATTTAATCTTCTTGTATATTTTCCTTCCCATAATCCTTATTATTTTAAATGTTCACATCATTTGGTTCTGTTTGTAATAAATAACAAGTTGCATTAATAATAAAATGGTCAAATTATTATTTTGTTTATTAAGGGGGGGGTTCTGTTAACACAAATTAAGTTAATATCGACAGATTCGGTTATCTCAGTAACCGGTATAACTGGTCATTCACTTACTGGTTCACAGAAAAATCCACTGTCTCCAGGCTCAATAATTATTAATGACATGTTGAAGCTCCTACGAAGTTCTGCCACATAATAAAAAGTTTTTTCTTGTGCTTTAGAACTTGAAAAGCCACGCTGTTACGATGTTTGAAGTGGGAAAACTCTCTGATGAATCTCTTGACAGCTTCTTGAATGAACTTGAAAAGGTAAAGTCTCTTTTACACGCAAAACTGTGAAAGTTTAACCGCCAACACCTCAACTTTACATGTTTACATCCTGTTAGCCATGATGATAGACCTAAAATATTTTAATGTTTGTAATGGTTTTTGGAAACTTGTTCGAAATACAGGAATAAACTGTACCTCAGTAGAGCTCTGTACTGCAGGAGTTACAAGTTCTGTCCATTTCTAGATGTGTAGCAGCAATCGTACCAAAAGTACCAGGAATATCAGAATAGCAAGGAGCTAGCAGGCTAGTGCCAAACTGAAGAAGTAATTAGATTTCTAGTTTAAGTCCTGTTCTGGGCTGCATAGCTTAAGGGTTTTGTTTTGACAAGTGACTGATATGGAAAAACTGTAATACATTCCCTGTTTTTTCTAAGTCGTTAATAATAGCCTTAATCTCTGAAAAGAGCCACTTTTGCATTACTTCTGAATTACCTAATGGTCTTTTGTCTTCAGCTAGTTGCAGTCCAGACAGGTTGCACCTGTGGAACCCACAGAAAAGCCTTTTGTGATTTTCTCAAACATGGCCGGCCTTTCTTTCAGTGGTTGTTTGTGTGATTTCTAGCAGAACATGTCCTGATAAAATCAATGAATAGTCTGTCACGTTATGTGCTAAATAATCGGGACAGCACATTGAAACTCAAACTCAAAGCAAAACCCCCCCAAAAATGCGAAGCCATTATTTTGTGTCACGGTGCTTCAACAGGTTGCAATTAAAATTTAATGAACAGCATAGGAAAGAGGATCCGTGCTGCGATTGCTGATGAAGTTAAGGTTACACCCCATCAAATACAGGATCAGCATGAGATTCATTCCCATACAATATTATGTAAATATTTATTATGGTGGTGTACACACCTGAAGAAGGCTCCACAGCCAAAACGCAGTGTTTCTTTACTTTGGGCTATGGAATGATCCTGTTACTATGCAGCCTACACCTACTGACACAGTCCCCTATTTGAACATGTGTACTGTATATACAGTATATTAAGAGGCATTAAAAGTGGATCCAATAGTATCTAACTTTTTTGTACATATTAGTGTATAAACGTACACAGAATCAATGCTGTTTGTAACGGTGCTTTATGTCTGAAGGTCGAAAGCACAGCAGAAGGGGAAGCTCAAAGGTATTTTGACCATGCCCTGACGCTCAGAAATACGATACTGTTTCTGCGTTACAACAAGGAACTGACTTCAGACCCCGAGCAGCCGAGCAACGGTGAGCAAAGTCGATGCTGCATGTGGCTAAACCAGTCATTCATTCTGACCCGCCGCTCTTTCAAGACTGGCGCAACACAGCTTCTTTCAGGTACAAGAGAGATGGCTGGGGTTTTTTTTTTTTTTGCCCCGGCTTTCATTTTTTCCCCCCGTCGGAGATCTGCAACATCCGAAGCCTTTACTTATTAATAAGGCTCCGCCACCTCGTGCACACAGAATGAAAAGCCTGACGCAGCCCTGCCCAGCCCGTTGTGGCAGTAAAGCGCGCCCGAGAAGGAACGGATATCGTTCCGGGCCCCAGGGGGCGCCCCGGTGGTGCGTGTGTGTGACCAGTGTCTGTGTGTGCGTCCTGCCAGGCTGCCCTCTGGACCTGCTGCGCTGTGAGAGCCTGCTGGGTCTCGACCCCGCCACCTGCAGCCGCGTGCTCAACAAGAACTACAAGCTGCTGGTCTCCATGGCGCCGCTCAGCAACGAGATCCGGCCAATCAGCAGCTGCACGCCCCAGGTAAGGGATTTTGCTGTGCATCCTTCATATACACCCCGAAGCATCACTCCACCCTGTTCTGTTGCTTCCTGCTCCCGGCAATGGTCAGTGAAAACAGTCCAGCATGCATGCTTCTGATTGCGCTTTAAAAGAGCATGTGAAGAAGTCGAGTTATGTCTCAGTAACTGGTCATTCTTGTTCTTGGATGGCAGTGTGAAAGGAACTATATAGTTTACTTCTCGGTAAGTTAGTAAGCATGCACAATCATGCCTCCCTAAATTTCCCCTCTAATTCAAGTGAGAAAGAGGTGAAAGTAGCCCCAGTCCACTGTGGAGTGGAGCTGCTGGTCCAGAATGACAGCCACATGCCTCCAGGGTGGGCGCTGTGCTTCAGTGAAATGAAAAGTGCTGTAATAAAGCGAGTAATTATTATCGTTATTAATGATTATTTTCTTGCAGTGGGCGGGTTTATGAATGAGGTCCTCAGGTGGTGTTAGAGGTGGCCTTACCTAAAGTGGTGGTTGGAGGGGACGTCGGGAAAAGAAGAATGTTAGAAGATTATTAAAGGTTTCTGTGCTTCTGTCTGCACTGCTGGATCTCATTGGTTGAAAGCTGTTCTCTGCTTAGGATGACTGCGCGCTGCTGTGTACGCAGCAGTGCTGGTACTCCAGTTCCAGTGTTGTTCTTCAGTTTTGAATCCCTCTGTTTTGCAGCACATTGGACCTGCTATTCCAGAAGTCAGTTCAATCTGGTTCAAGCTTTATCTTTACCATGTGTGTGGACAAGGACCTCCTTCTCTCCTGCTGTCCAAAGGATCCAGGCTAAGGAAGCTACCAGATATCTTTCAGGTAAAAGGGGTTATTGGTCTTCTGCACAGTATATAGCACAAAAATTGGATTTGGAAGGTTAACAGATGATCTTGTTCAGTATATTCTTGGAACATATATGAATTTCAAAAGTTTTTTCGGGAGCAAATGTCTTTTCATGTTAATCAAATTAAGCCAAGCCAGAATTTATTGCTTTATATCTTTCTGTGGGTACGGGATCTCAAATGTTGATTTCTCTAGAATAAAAGGGAATGGATTTCTGATTTTTTCCTAAATTCAGACAATAAAATATCAGGGCTAATACATATCAATAACAAACATGTGAAATAGAGAATAACCTTTAATGTATGTCTAATAATTGAATACTAACTTTTAATTTAATATTTTAAAACGCAATCTGTAAACAAATTCAAAATGTTTTACTTCTGTTTCTTAAAGTTCTTAAAGTTTTGCAAATACTGTGACCTTATCTGTGTTAATTATCTGTTTAAATACAATAAAGGTAGTATTTTAGTATTAAGTTGTAACTTGCTGTGTGTTATCAAATGTGTCTTTTGTTCACTAAAGGCAATAATGTTTTAAGACTTATGACAGGCTCCTGATCACTTCCTGGGGTCACGATCCTGGTGTTGTCCCAAGTTCCAATGTACTGACCATGCTTAACGATGCCCTCACACATTCCGCTGTGCTGATACAGGTAAGGCCCCACAGACAAGTAAATGCAGGAAAAGCAGACTTTTAAGATCAGTGCAAATCATAGACTGGGAAAAACCTATAGGAATGTCAGAAATAGAAATGGTAGACATGGTTAATAACTACTTTTTTACCCAGTTTGTCTTAGCAACAACTTGAGGAAATGCTTCCCTTTCAATATTTAATGTTTTAATATTTTCAAACAAACTAGACCAAATTGTTTGAAACAGAATCAACACAATCAAATAGAGTCAAATAGAGGAGAGACAACCATTAGGAAATTGGAATCATAATACGGTTTGCTTTAAATCATAATATCATATTATGAAATGGTTTGTTCCGAAACACTGACTGGCTGAAGGTACTGACCCTTTTTAGTTTTTAACAACAAAGACTGAGGAACCTGATATAAGTTTTCCAAATCTTCCAAGGCCTTGACGAAGTCTGTTCCACTGACTTCCTAAAAAAGAAGATGAAACACAAACCAAAGGAGACAAATGGAAGTGCATTTACAACTGAGGACAGGAAGCTCTTCTGTACCCAAAATGGTTGTGGGAGTCATGAACAAGTTCCCTAGCTATGTGATTGAAGTTGATGCCCAGGCTGGATGAGACTCTTGGATTACTAAGCTTTTAACTACCAAATAGGCGAGATTGACCGAATGGCTTCTTCTTGTTTGTTACTGTTCTTTAATATCCTCAACATTGTTTAATTTTGATATAAAAGTAAAAATTAAAGGTCTTTCAGTGAGGACATTTATTTATTTTGCCATGTTCATAGAACTGCTTTAACAAAAGTGGGTTTGATGCCCCTGGAAGAATACATACTGCCCTGCTCATGGATATCATACCCTTCTCTGACTTCCTGGGTCTTTTCTTGGGGTGGTATCTGGAAGAGCAACTGTTGGGTTAAGCGGTGTGCAATTTTGAAAACAAGATTGGCAATAGGTTGTGTATTTACATAGAGAAGAGAGACATCCCCATCTTGTTTCATAAAATGAAAGTCCTTTTTTGAAGGCTTTGTGTAAGAACTGCTGGTAGTTAATTACTAAGTGAAGGGCATAGTGAATGTCGCTGACCTTTCTGAGTGTCTGTTGCTAATTCTATATCTACAGGGTCACGGTATTCTTGGCATTGGAGAAACTGTTCACGTGCCATTTCCCTTTGATGAAAGAGAGCTTAAAGGAGGTAAGGGAGAAGTTTCCCTTTAGCTTTTTGTGTAATATGAAGCTGCAGTGCTTAAGGGATTGTGCCTCCAATCAGAATGTGGGGAAAGAAAGCATCTCTGTGGGATTTCCTGTTGGATTTGCAGCAGTTGCCAGCTCAGACTTCTTTTTTTTTTTTTCTCCATCCAGATTTCTCCTATTCCAACATGTGTGTTCACAAAGCTTTAAGAACTCTGAGAGAGAAGATAGACCTGGAGCATTTCTGTGGGTATATCACCATGCTGAATCCCAACAGCAGGCACTCCAGGAGGCTTAGTGAATCATCTGAGGGAAAAGGTCGGTACCTTCAATAATTGCCTTGCAGTTAACACAGGGTTAAACCAATGGTGTCTGAGTAATGTCAGCGTCCTGATTAGCGAATCAGTCATATCTCAGTTGGGTGCATGCCCCTCACACCACTTCATTTACACTCAACATTGAAGTGTTAATAACTTTAAACTCTCTGTGTCATCAAAGGGACATGCCCAAAGGGACATGACACTCTGGAACTATTTTCTGAAGAATCGGCTCAGAGGTATCTTAGCCTTCCCCCTGTGAAGTCAGGAGACTGACTGTGCTCACATCTTTCTTTCTCAGGAGAGCCTGAGCTGAGTGTAGGATTTGATGCGAACGGCAGCACAGAATCCTTTGAACTGGTTGTTGAGGAAAACAATACCGACTCAAACAGAAAGCAAGAGCCGGAAGGTAAGGGGCCCTGATTCACTGGAGCCTGGGTGTTGAGCTAGGAAGTGGCTCTGGGATGCCGTAAGCTGTGAAGGAAATAACCCCTGGCGAGAGTCACCTCCACATGGCCTCCTTCGAATATGAGTACCCGTGGAATGTATTTTAGAGGCAGCACAGTGGAGCAGGGGTTGGCATTGCTGTCTCGCAGAGCTTGAGCCCTGGGTTCCATTCCGGGTCTGGGGTGCTTTCTGTGTGGAGTTTGTATGAGGGTTGTGTGGGTTTGGTCTGGAACTGTGTCCCTAAGGATATCAGAGAGTCACCTTCCCTAAACTAATTCAAATCTAGACCGCAAACCTTCTTCTTTAGAAGGGCCTTTACATAACTGGTTCTGCTGTTCACCCTTCTGCTTCTACTGTAATCATCTACTGTCTCCTCTCATGGTGTGTTTTCATTGTGTATATACAGTATAGCGCCATTTAAGGGGGTTTATATAAAATAAAGTTTATTATTATGATGATCATTTCCTCTGGGTGCTACAGTTTCCTCTGACAGTCCAAAGACCATACTTGCCAGTTAATTGGCTTTGGGGGAAATTGGTTCTGGGTGTGAGCGTGTGCGAGTCTGTGTTTGTGTCTGTGTACCCTGCAGTGGGCTGGCATCCCAGCCAGTGTGTACTCTGCCTTGTGCCTGTTGTCTGCGTGACCCTGAGTTGGATGAAGCGGTAAGAAAATGGATAGATGGATGGAAGTCTAAAGCTGACTTTGGAAAGTCAAATCCTTGTGCTGTGTTTAATGACTTGACTGTTGTTGTTCATTCTGCAGTGTTGTCAACAGAAGAGGATTGGGTTCCTTTAGAGCTGTGCTTTGGAATGCCACTCTTCAGTGAGGATCTAAATCGAAAGGTGTGTCAAAAGATAACATCCCATGGGCTCTGTGGAAAAGAGAGGTGAGTTTGTATTGGTGAAAACTTCTCAAAGTATTTTTAATAATGGTGTTGTTTGATCAATTAGTAATACCGTATTTTCACATGCAAACTATAACATGCAATGAAAAGCTTTGCTTCTTAAAATCGGGCAATGAATACTGTAAAAATACTTCATAAAATGCTTGTTTCTTCTTTAATGTTTCATGTTCCAGCCTTCAGAAATTACTACATTCCAGCCGAAAACTGTCTTTGAAAGTTCTGAGCTTTGTTCAGTCATTCCAGGTAAGACGTTTCTCTTTCTTTCAAAACTTAGATCCTACCCCATATGTTCTGATACGTTTTCAAAGACCAATTATCACCGATAAAGACAGTGATAGACCATGATAAATTATCAAGAGATGTTTTGTGTTGATTTATTTTGATCTTTGAAGCGCGATTTTCACATGAATGTTTAATTCATAACTGGTATTTAATTCTGTTTAATGTGTTGACCCGATTTCTCTGTGATTCTTTGGGTTTTAGAATGCACATTTTGCACCTTGCTGTTGTGAACGTTCCGAGTGTCTTAAAAAGATGTCAGTGTCATCATTGAAATGAAAACATTTGGAGAAAATATACTAGCTGCAGTTCTTAAACTATACTTTCTGAAAATGAGTTTGTCTTCTACAGATGTCAAAACAGGAACAGGCTGGTGGCAGTTGACTTTTCTTTGGTATTTCTAATATTGGACGGGCTTGATGTTTCCTTCCTCCTATACGATTCGCACTGCTGAGCAACTCTCTCCTTGGCGTGTGAAAGACATTTCTACAGAGCTCTGTAAAGGCCCGTTTTTGCCTCCTTTTGTTTTCAGGAAAGCACTAGCACTGCTGAGGGGAGGTCAGACGGCGGAGTATCCAGTTTGCTCAACCAGACCACACTGTCGTCCTCAGAAGCGGGGGTCCCCCTCCCCGCTCTCAATCTCCTCTTCAAGGACGGCCAGCTAGCAGAGTGGAGTGGTCGTTCTCCTCCCACCATTCAGGCCCCCACTTTGCACAAAGACCAGCCCACCTAAGCCCACCTGTTCAACCACGGCCTGTTGTTATTGTGAACACCCTAGATCCAGTGGCCCCCACCAGCCAGTCGCTTGCTTTCATAAATAGACAGTGTTACTTTAACAGTTGAAGCATGGGAAATAAGGATGGTCACTTTCTGAGAAAGGAACTGAAGTAACTCCTTGGCTATTTAGTAAGGCAAGTGTCCTCTTGAGTGTAGAACCAGAGGTCAGCAGCACAGTGTGTTTTTTGCCAGCCTTTGTTCTCAGATGTATTTAATTGGGATCAGAACACCACTAAGGAAATGGTTGAGGCAGATCAGTTTGGAACCTCAGATGGCTCTGTGCACCATTGGGTTTGAAAAACCAACAGTGTACCTTACTGGACCAAACCCCTGGCATAATACGGCCAAGAACATCTTCTACTGTAACCTTTCCCCTCTTCACTTTTCCTACAGATAGTCCGTGCATGACGTTTGTCATACAGCAGTCACAAGGACTTTTGTATGTTTTAGTTAAAACTCTGTGTGAGCGCACAGGAGCATTTTTAATTTGCACAGGACAAGACTGCTAGAGCTGGGACCGAATGAGTGAGGAAGAGGTTTTTTTAAGTTTCCCCCCCCCCCCTCCTGTTTGATCTCCCTGCTTTGGGAAGCTCCGATGAACTCACAGCCTGGCCAGTGAGTGTGGAGGACTGAAGGCAAGGCGGTTTCGTCCCCCATCCTCACCGGAGGGGCTGAGCCCTTCTGCATCAGACGAAAGCTGGTCGGGCTGTGGAGATCAAGGGAAGCTAAAGCTTTCGGGCTTCGGCTAGAATCTGATGTGCAAAGGGTACATATGGGAAAACCGACAATCTGCATCCCATTAAGAGGCAGCACACTGGGTCTCCAGAAACACATTGTGCCAGTATAGCGCAGTGAGCCACAGGCATTTTAAAACCATTCCCTGCTGTAACATGTTAGAAATACCCCCCCAGACTGGTATAAAACTTGTCAGCACCTCTCTGCAAAAGACAGTATGTTTGTTTCACAACTTCATCACACTCCGTGTAGCTTTTCTAAGGGAGTATGATGGTTCGAAAGCAGTGTGAAGCACAGGAGCAGCAAATAAGCTTTGTTTCAAGAAGATAATATAAAAAGCTTCTTGTTCACTTTATACAAATACGGTTGCTTTATTCCACAAAACTAATGTTTGTGGTTTTCTGTGCTACACTTTTTAAAATCCCTGTCTAGGTGATTTGTAGGAAGTCCTTGTGCGGGATTATGTATTTTGGAACCTGAGAACTGAATGGCAGGTCTGAGTGTTTCCAATACTGCATTTTTTTCAGTCAATAAAAGAATGTTATCTTGATCATTTAAAAAGTAAGCTTAAAATACATTTCAGTGTAAGAGAAATAATCATTCATAATTTTGCGATGCTGACACGCTTTTCAGGATATCTTTGTTGTAGCTTGTTTGATGGGACTGTGAATATTGCTCTTGTAATTATAAACAAGTACAGAATTGACATTCCTCTTCATGATTTCCAAAACTGTACGTGTTCTAAAGTGAAATGTAAAAATAGTAAGACCTAAATAAAAAATGTAAAAATCCCCAGCATCTGTTTACATCGCATTATTGACTTGTTTCAGAAGAGCACGTTTTTTTTTCCCCGACAAATAAAAGTGCATAGTTAAATGCAATCTGAACTATGTAGCAGCAAGCGATAGTGTTCAGTGTTCCACTGCTTTCTCAACTTGTAATCACATTAGACATGGCATGCAGAGAGTCTGGAACAGCAGAAGAGATCATGTTCAGTACTTAACAATGCCTGGAGTACGAGTCACAAAGAACTGATATTACACGTAGACTACAGGCAATAAAAGGGCAACCATGTTTGATACTGTTACGAATTCCTAATGCAAGAAATTGTATAGGGCTAATAAAGAACATTATTATTATTATTATTATTATTATTATTATCTTTGCAGTGTACGCTGTCCTCTGAAGCAGGGCCTCTAGTACACATTTAGCATCTATTTTTAATGCCCATGTAACGCATCCGTCACCTCAACCCCGGCTCTTTCCTCTTCACTTCCTCGCCATCTGTCGCTGCCTTCTGATAGGAGAGTTCAGATCGCGTCTCCCTCTCGCTCTCTTCACAAGGTGGGTAGTTTGTTTGCTACTCGCTTTCAGGCGGAAATTGATTTTTTTATGCTTCGTGGGCCCTATTGTCAAGCAGATAAAACAGGAGGGTTGGGCAGGGGATCTCTGGCAGACACAGATCTTTTTTGGGGGAGGAAGGAGAATTTCAGTCATTATTTCACACCAAGCACAGAATTGTATGTTTTGTGCTACTCTGGGTTTTATTAGATTGTTTCGATGCACAGAAGCCTTTCGATTTACTTCGGAACTATCACTCAAAACATGAAATTGCACAATTGACCAACAGCATGAAAATGGAACTGTTGCAGTGGGATATTTGTGTTCTTTTTTTTAACATGTCAGCGTCTCTCCAGTACAGGATTTTAGCTTTGTTTTAAGTGCCCAAAAGTCTGAATGCTCACCTTTTCAAAAGCTTGCTTTGCCGTTAGCATTTTGTGTCATTGTGGGAGAATCCCGCTTCAGAAAGGTACAGTGTGAATAAGGAGCTTTCCACACCACATATGGAGAGCACTTTCCCTTTCTCTTTCTGCAGCTACAGAATTTATAAAGACAGACCAGTTAAACCTGTATGACTGTAGCTCTTGAAGGTGCACAGCATTGCTGTTATGAGGTGCGTTTCTTGACTAAAGCTGTTTCTGTCACTGCCCTCCAAACACATATTTACTGTACTTCACTGTCGCTCCCTGTTTTTTATGGTCTCGTTTTCCACGTCACCCGGGTCATTTCTGTGTTTTGGAAAAAGTAATGTACCCATGCTGAAGAAAGGGACTTGGGAAGCCATTACAGTTCATTATGAATTGTGACCTGGACGAATAGTGACGAATGAGCCGCACTCCCTTGAGCAGTAATTATTCATTAGGGATAGAGTGTTTGTGGAGTTCTTAAAGGGAACCTAAGTTTAAAGAAGAAAGGGAGAGAGCAGAGCACTCTCAAGTGTGATACAATATGAAACCAAGAAGAAATCAGAATGCAAAAGGAAGAGCTACATACAGAATGGGCATACTGTACTTCATTGCTCTCTAACACTCCACTAGATGTCAGTCAAACACAGTAGGGACCGGATACAAAGTGTTAAATCTTCTTTTGCGTTGCTCTTTTGTCCAGGGGGCAGACGACTGCACTTTATTAATGTGGCATGAAAATTGTGCACTGAAGCAGTTGTGTGCGCTGTGCTTAATGCAGAGGGCTGGGGGGGAAAATGTATTTGGTCCACATTTGGTGGTTGTCTTCCAGAGGTCTGGCCTTTTTCTCTCTTCTGTGAAAGCAACAAAAACAGCCCAATTTTAATTGTCCACATTGATGTACATTTTATAGGTATAACTGTTTCACAAAACGATTAATGGAAGCTGTATACCATAAACTGTATATACAGTGCCATGTACTATATACCTATATTGAGCGAGGGATGAAAGCCCAGCAGCATAAATAAGCAAGTGCCATTGCTGTTTTTAAAATTATATAGCCTGTTACTGTGTTCAAAATACCTGAGACCAGTGCAGAGTTGTGTGTTGCTCGCCATATTAGCGGTGACGCATTAAAATGTGCCTTCCTTAGCCAACCGAGCAGTCTGCTCTAAAGAGCCGCACACTCATCATGTCCAAAACACTAGGGTTCTCCCGACTTCCCGGCAAGCTCTCACAAACCCCTCAATTTGATCAGATTAAGGGCATTTTACTGCAACATAGCCTGAGGTAATGGGATTCGAAACAGGTTTTTCTATTGCTGGAGAGGAACTTGTGCCTGAGGTTGTACTGTAGCTACTGTCTAGAGTGGGTGGCGTGTTGCAGCCTCTTGACAACAGGGCCTGGGTGCACCTCCCCTCCGAGCAGCATCTCTCTTGTATTTAGCTGCTCTGATAGCTTAGAATCTGCCTGATTTCCCTTTGTTCACCCCGCTTAACTGTGGTACCAGATCCCTGACCTCACTGATCTGTGGATAATCAGCCTGCTGTCTTAAGATCCCTTTGGAAAACGAAGGCAAGGCGTGAACAGCGTACAGTATCCGTGGCATGATTAAGATTTAACCACAAGCACAGCCATCTGCTGGGAGACATCATGCCGGGACCATTTCAGATTTGATGAAGAAGATTTTGGCACTTTTCAATTACCATTAAAGAACAGCAGCCTTTTTAGCCTTCTTGTACACAAGATAATCCCTAAGTGTGCACTAAACACAGATAGGAAACTGCACACACACTTGGTTCTTTTCAATTCTAACCCTACTGAGTTTAAAACGTGTCTATTTAAATGATAGTAGACTGTCATAAGTAGTTGTTTTTTGGACAGGGTGGGTATCACATTTTGGACGATAACTGAAAGCAATGGATTGGTAACACGCGGTGACAGAACAGCTAATGCTGGCAATTAATAACCCACCGGCTACTTTTAGTTGATCACAGTTTGCATGGCGGAGTGTTTGAAGTTCTGCGCGATTTTTCACCCGCTTCGTAGGTGTTCTTTATTGACCGATTGTGGTCAGACAATGTGGCGGTCATATGCGCGCCTCGCCGGGGTCCCTGCTGGGCGCAGCCCTCCCAGGCTTGCCGCTGTGCGCCGTAATGAAGCCGCCGAGCCCGCTGTCCTTTCCTGCCTGGTTTGCATCGGGGGCTAATCCTTGCCTCCGTGACGCACCGACGAAGATTTACACCCCCTGGCCGTCTGAGCGCATCATTACAGACCCCACCGCCAGCAGGGGACTTGTGATCATCAGATATTAACCTCCCGAGAGCAGATACTCTTTACAGCCTGTGTGATTTGCATGGGCTGGCGTTGCAGTGCCTAACACAAAGAGATACGTGCGTGTATTGAACGGGTACAGTCCCTTGAAATCCACCGAGACGGAGGTCTTAGGGGGCATATTATTAGCTGCTTAAAATTCTTCTTATGTAACCAAAGCACAACAGTCTGAAACAAAAGCACTCTGTGGTGAATTTATTGTGTTTACCTGCAGTGAACCACACTGGCAACTCTTTTCAGAGGAAGAATTAGACATTCACGAGAGCTTATGAAACATTGTGCTGGCTTCAGATTTACACGGGGGCTTATTTCTTTGGATTGGAAGTAGAGTGAGTCAACAGCCGCGGTTTTCCTAACAGTGTTACTGCGGGCAAAAATGTGCTTTAAATGTATTTTTGTCATAATCAAAGTTGCATGAAATGTTCACTTTAATTTCTGCTGTATCCCAATAGGCATTGAAAACCCAACCAATGAGTATTAAAACCAGTAGCGTTTGCTGTGTTTTTAAATGCCTCTCGGTATGTATTAGTCACTGAGATGACGTTGAAAGCAATGACAAAACAGCAATATTGATTTTAAAAATAAAAATGCATTCGTCGAGTTTGTAGTTTGTAGCAGTGGGGACTGGAACTATCTTCAGGTTAGCCAAAGGTTCGAGGCCAACTCAAGCCAGGGATTGAACAGCTCTAGGATAAAAGGTCCTAACATCTTGAGGTAGCCGATGAAGTGGGGGTGGAGGCATGGCGCTATGAGGGACTGAAGTCCCTGTTCATGGTTACCAGGTCCCAGGTCTTGCAGCAACAACATACCCTAGATAAATGTTACTTTTTTGCATAGACATTTAGGAAGAATTTAGTCATACTTCTTTACTTATTTTTTCCTGACAAAAACCATGCACTCTTATTTTATTAAATTTATATGCCTGAAAATGATGACATTTTTATTCATAAACATTGCAAACAATTTTACAAAATGGAACCGCGGGGGGGGCTAATCCTGAAAAGAGAATCTCTGTTGTGGGGTTAATGCAATTATGTCCCGTCATAAAAGTGTCTCAGAAAAGTCCAAATATTAGAGAAGTACTAATCACTGTCTAACCCAAATTGTACTGAGGTATTTTTATTTATAAGAAACACAAAAATAGAAGTATATACTGGTGCTTTTTAAACTTTTCGTAGCGTGGGTAATGTTGTTTAGGGGTCAAATCGTAAAATTCCATGACGGGCCAGACAGCCTCACTGAGAAGCCGTAGTTGACATGACTTACACATTCAGACATTCCCCGAAGAGAGACTGGATACCTCGAACAACTTGCCAGGCACACCCTTCCAAAAGTAAACTAGCACTAATTTATTGGCCAAATTCAAAAGTTATAATAATAAGAAGAATTAATAATTGCTTACACTTATATAGCGCTTTTCTGGACACTCCACTCAAAGCGCTTTCCAGGTAATGGGGACTCCCCTCCACCACCACCAATGTGCAGCATCCACCTGGATGATGCGACGGCAACTATAGTGTGCCAGAACGCTCAGTACAGATGCCTTCTAGGATAAAAGGTCCTAACATCTTGAGGTACACTTATTATGAAGTACAGACTTCATAGTAAGTGGGGTAATCTATGGTTAATGGAACCCATACTGTACATATGGTTCATTTTCATTTTAGGATGATCTGGCCTGCAGGTTTAATGTGCACGTGTTGACCCTTTCCTGTA